TACTTATCTGATCTTGAATTATTACCGGCGGTCATAATAGAAATCAAGATAAGTAAAAGAGACCGACTTTGGCAAGGCTAAAAAATAGTATACCAGCCGGGATAGCAGCCTAGAAATAGCAACCTTATTGTTATCGAGCCGCCTTGTAAATGAGCCACATTTTCAGAACTCTCTTTCGGGCATGTATGCATGACTGAGAGTTTGAACAGAACAGAACAATAGAGGTCAGGGCTCTAGACAACAATTATAAATAGGCTAAAAAGAACTCTGGAGCCCTCTTGGAACGGATACAGAAGATGCCTCGATGGAATAATGTATTTTTCAAATTTTGAGATTTCCCTTTCAATATGTTTATCCTTGAAACATATAAATTCATCCCTTTGTTCTGTTATGTGACTTTTGATTTATAGTATTTCATAGCTGATTTTGTTTGAGACCTATTTGATTGAAAGCTTAAAAGACGTTGTTCAGGTTGTTTATAAATGTAAATGTTGACGACGAAGCCTGGCGAAGACTTATTAATTAACGCATTGAAACGAATGAATTTCAGGAATGACACACGAAACTTCTGTTCGCCGCAAATTTTTAAACATGTTCAAAATTTCAAACGCATCCATACGAACACAATATACCTGCTGCTGCAGTGTTCGATGTGCTGTCACGCGTATTTACTATTGGGAACGAATTTGACTCATGTCCTATTCGCCAGCATACGCAAGTTGATGTTTGGATTTTTCGCTGAATATGTGAGGGGGCCTTTATTTACAGCAGGTTGCGTATGATTTTTTGCGACAGTTTGCGAATTACTGATTTACTTACACTTGTATTGGATACTCAGCTTTCATTCCATGTAAAGAAAACATAAATTGATAAAACATTGACGAATGGAGCGGTTACAACGACAATTACTTTCAGGGATTTTCAGAAATTTTCGTCCAGTGTATTTAATATACTGGAATTATACTCTATTTTTAACATTATAATGATATGGATACTCGGGTTTCATTCCATGTAAGAGCAATAGATACAACATACATTATTGGGTGGGAGTGAATGAGCCTTATTTTCTGGCGAATATTTAACGTTTAGCCCTTGATCTTTATATGCTTCATTTAGAATCCTAGATAAATGTATTAATGATCAAACACGATTGGCCTTCGTGGAATATCACCTTTGGAAGATGCATGTCCTCATACCAATAGAATGAAATATTTGTTTAACATGTGACGGTGATTTAAAAATGATCTGAGTCATTTGACTCTAAGGCTAATTTTAATCGGGGATTATGAAATAGATTGCACGTACGTATTCAAGTGAAAATTCACACACCAGTGATATCTTAATGACATGATAAGAACTAAGAAAGGAAGATCATGTAAAAATGCGTAAAAACACTGACTTATATTTCCGCTTTGCAACAAAATTAGTTGACTGAAATTAGAGATGCTTCCTAGACGAAACTATTGATAAACTCAAAGAAGTGAACAATTACAAATGGTATGCTCAATCGGGAAGAAGCCATGTATGGTATTTCTCATCGTCTATCAAGTACAAGTTGTGCGAAAAAGATTGTGGGTGGGTTCGATTGGAACGCTGTTTGTTGTTACTCTAATTTCAGCAACGGAACTCTTGTTTAAAAATCATGTATTGATACACGTACCATCGTCACTGAGAATACTTGAGCTGAATGCTGAATTAGGAAATTTCTGGAAATGGTTATTTCTCCAACGATATAGGCCAACTTATGTAGTCTGGAATTTGGCTATTAATAAAGTATTAATTGAATCGGACAAAAACAATTTGTAGAAATGTATATCTTTATAATACAAAGTTAAACGATTTTGACCGCAATATAAGAAGTGATTCTTTAATCGTTGGCATTCTAATCCCGTACTTCCGCATTGCTAAAGTATTTCTTACAAAAAAAGCATAATTAATCAAACGAAAATAAACAAATCATCTTCTTTAATCTAATAAGTCCGAGCTCGTATATCTCACCATAATTCATTATTTTCATTTCAAGACTTGCATTGAATACTGCGCACTTTTTATGCCTACGTGATCCTGACCTATTTGATTACTATAATCTGATGTACAAATAGTTGATCTGAAATTGACAGAAAATGGGGAAAATGTTTCTCGCTTTCGCTGATTCTCCCTTAATTAGCCAGTATAACAACTCTATTATGTCTACCATCATTTAAGAAATATATTTGGAATGCCTGTTATCAAAGGTGTTATCCTTGCGATAAGATTCAAGTAGGAATCCGAATTCGATCGCGTGTTTAGACAAATATCGCGCTGCCAATGCAACACCTACATTTATCATGGGTTGGTGCTTTAATTCCTGAGTATACTTGAAAAGTTGCAATTCGTTCCTAAATATCAGTCAAGTAAACTTTCAATAAAATGAGAATGTGGGTTAAGTGATCTATAAAGCGGATTTCATATTCCTTGCAAAACAACTGTGAAAGACAGAACTACGCGTATCAGAAGTCGGGGAAAGTGACCGGCTGGGATTGAACAAATTCGATTTCCTCGACATAAAAGTGTCTCCTCCGAAATCATCACCAGTAACTGCCATTCAAGCGCATTTGTTGATGTTTCCTTCGGGAATTTATGGAATAACATGGATTAAAGCTGTTTCAGTACTGGCATAATAGTACATGCGCAATCCAAAACAATTTCTCTTTAAGCTAAAACTACTTTAAAACAATATCATGATAGATTGTTTAATTACTATTTTACGAACTTTCTTGGTAACCATAACAACTCAATGAATATTCCACTGGAGTCCTTGGCACTAAATAAAATTATTAAACAATTAAACGATAATTCAACGTGAAGATATCACCCCGGGATATAACCTATGGGTCTTTATGACATTTGTATTTCATTCATGTTTAGGGTTACCGGTAAAGTTATCTTTGCGGCATAAAACCAAAGTGCTTACATTGCTCTACCGAACGACGTTTGACCCAAAGAGTCATATATTAAAAAAAACAGCTGATTTTCTGACACTGTTAGGCTACCCTCGCCGGTTAGTTGCTAATAAATGTTACTGTGGCATTTTCAGAGAATTCCAGAATAATTGATTTTGAAGAGATCTAGCTAATAATGCAATTCAAATGAATTCATAGAATGTTAAAATAAAGATAATCTAAGAATAAACTTCTTCTATATCAATCTATTGTCAAAGCATTGCCCATTTGTAAACATACTAGTAGTCATTTGATTTCTAATATCACGATTGTTGTTTACATTTGTTCTCGTGCTGATTATAATGGAACCAAATGCTTCCGTGCATACATCAGAATATTTTTATAAACTCGGTCAGTACAAAGTATTTATTATTTGTTTCGGTATATAATCGTCACAAATTCAAGACAGGTCTGCAAAAACATCCTGATATAAAATACGACCTAAGAGTGTATAAATCAAAAACAACTTGAGAGCAATTTAAATTGAATGTGGCTTGAACTGGACTTTGGTGTTTACACTCGGTTACTGATAAATGCTATAATTGGTTCATTATCACGCTATTGCAAATATTCATCAAAACGTATAAAGGGCAACAATCGAAAAGTACTATCAGATAGAAGTTATTAGAATTGCCAATGGCATCGAAAGTGAATAACTGCACATAAATCAACATACAAGTAAAGGTGCTCATAACCCAATTCTGCCAACATATATTTTGGATAATCGTGTTCAACGTTTACATTAGAATGAAAGGGGTTTTCAAACAATAAAATATAAATAAACAGATTTAACCATAATGCCATGCAGCTATAAGTTGTAGTTTAACCATGAAAACCACATTGTTTAGATATGTTTCATTTCCAGATGCAACTTTTGATTGCCTGCTCACTTTTAACTTTCCTGGACAAAAATTCATGCAAAAGGTCATGCAGCCCATTTTCACAATGTTTTAAGCCCTTTTCAACTGATTTTGGGCCAAAATTGTAAAATTTGAACCCCTTGGATTTTCTTAAAAACTGAATGAAACCCCTTGGCAAAAGCTGGCTACGAGCCTCATTCAGTAGTACTTATCATATATGCATTTTGATCAATTCCATTTATCGCGTATTTAACCCTAATCTGTTTTCAAATGGGCTTACACTAATTGTATTTTGAATCGTTCCAAAGATATATCTGATAATTGAGGCGCAAGTAGCATATCCGACGTTGTGGTGAATATTATACAATAAAATAAATACCAGCTGTTCCAAATTTGATCCCTGTGGTACTCCACAATATTAAAACGTTCCCTGTTGTAACTGCTCAATTCTCTTAAAGTATTCATTCTTTTCCTAATCAAAGTAAAAAGATTGTCACCTCGTATCAAACTTACATTAGAAAATATGATCTTGATGAAGTAAATATGTATGGCCCAGACAAACTCGGTGAGAATATAATTATTTCATCTGGCTAATTTCATCCCACGTCTCAGAACTGAATATAGAGTAATTGATAATGACCGGAAATAACAATAGTCTCATTGGAGCAATCCCGGTAGGCGAATACGTTAGTCTATAAAGTTATTCTTGAAACGTAGGTGCTTGTCATTTTTGTTCATAGATATGTCTTACCTTTCAAAAATTGTGACCTTTGAAACTTCAATTTGCATTTTTAGGTCTTTGAACTCGAAGACTGGCATAGAAAATGACTGGTTGTTATTATACAATAATAAAAATAAATTTCACAATTGTCCATTCAATTCTCATTAGGTTAATTATGCTATGTATTCATTGATAAGGTTTGAATTGTTCCATTGGGGATAAGTTGTTGCCAGTCGAAAAGATGAGCTATATCAAGCTGAAGATCGTAGATAATTAACGGAAATGTCATCTATCTGTTCTAAAATTACCTACAAATGACGTCAGGCACTCAATAAATCCCAATACGATCAATATTTGAAGTTAATGTTTGTCTTTAGAATACAGAAGCAATTGATATATTGGTTTTACTCGTAGAAACTTCTGCAGAATTCCGGTGTACGTACACATAGAATCAGCTGTTAAGTGCATTAGCCAGCTGAGAGAAGAGAAAGACTATCAGATTGATGTTTTAAGAGTATATGGCTGTCCTGATGCAGGTTTGCTCAGCCTGTGTCGGCCAAGGCTCCCATAATATGTTGACTTGCTCCAGGGTAGTTCTCTTGTGGTCAGGGTTTACCAGGGTATGCTGGATCGGGGTTAAGTCAAGGTTTGGAGCTTGGAGAGAGCTATTTATGCAGGTCTAGTGGCTAAGACGATATAGGGGGACATTGGACGCTGATTGGTTGCTCACTTCGGAGCTCACGTCGAAATCAGCTGATTGAGAAAATATTATTACAAGACAGGCAATAAAAAAGCCGGCATCCACGGAACACTTTCCTTTATAACTTTGTGATCTCAGTCGACGTCTGGTGGAGAGCTCCTACAGAGCAATCCTTGTGGAGGAATAATATCTATGGACGCTCACAAGGAAGCATGTCGAACCGAGTAACAAACGCCATCATATGTGCCGTACTGCTTGGTGTCATCAGCTGTAGTGTTGCACACAATCACCATAGACACGGCAATAACCATGGTAACAATTACCAGAGAGACCGGGCGGCTGATGACACAAGTCATCGGTTGCTCGGGGAACACACTCGCAACACACAAGAAGATGTTGCAGCAGCTGATACTGCACAAGAGGTTGAGTGTGAAACATGTGCAAATGCTAGAAAATTAGAACAATTATCTCCAGAAGAATTAAAAGCTCTTAGAATAGAATACATAAAACAAGAAATTTTAAATAAATTAAGAATGACAGAAAGGCCACCTAAAGTGAATAGCACAAGGCCAAGTTTACCACAGGCCCTTATTGAAGAAGATATTGTCGACGATGACGTTCCGATAAACAATGGTCATATGTCATACATACAAAATGATAATCCCGATGAACCACCTGAGTATTATGAAAAAACTGAAAAAGTTATTGTATTTGGAGAGCCCGGTAAGTACTTTAGATATTACTTTACAATAATAAAATTGAAACGCTCGTGACGGTGACCCGAGAGGCAATGTATGAAGTGACGTATCCTATTAATTTGATATCCAGTAAATACAATTAAAAAACGTCCGCTATTCACTTAAGATACGACTGGTGTGTTGTTTATGTACATTTGTAATTTGTCAATTTTGGCATGATGTTGTTCTCGTGGTTGTTTTCAAGTTTTGTTTTGGATATCTACTGTAATTAATAACGCATGCATATTAGACCCATTGACATAGTTACCAGATAAATGTTTCTTTACACTTGCAAGTAAATATGCATGGTATCATTTAACTTATTTCAATGTAATATGAATTCCTGATGATCGTATCTTCTTCAAATTATTCATACTTAACATTTTCACGTTCTGGGGATATTTTTCTGAACACTTTTCTAAGATATTTGAACGAATAAAGTTTCGCGAAAAATCATCAACATAACGTTTCAGTATGGTCGTTTGTGCATAAGGTTTAAGGTAGATAAAGATATTGTTAAACTTTAAAATAATATACTCTTTGTGGAAGGATCAATTTTTCAATTACATAGCAAAATATATATTTCAAGGAGAGATGCAAGTATTAATCCCTATAATGATATTAACCCTTTAATGTCTGAGGACGTTAGCTGATTAGGACTTATGCAGCGTTTGCAAATTCTGCCGGCTGATGGTTTAACTTACTTTTATGGCCAGTTCATTTAAATATGGATAGTACCAGGTTCTATTCACATTCAAATCAGTTGGCCATAAAGCAGTAGTTTAATCCGTCAGCCGGTAGTTGATTTCACGAACGCTATCTCAGTTCAGAAGAGTTTCTATATGATGATGCGGTGTCTGAATAGTGTTCCTGGAAGGTACAGATGGAAATCAGTCAATAAAGTTATTTTTGAAAAAAATGTTTCTGGACAATTCAAACAGGTCAATAATACTTGAAGTAAATTCTGAAATAAAATTTAAAAAACGAACAAAATATTGTCACCGTGAAATCGCAACAAATACACACAAAGAAGTTAATAATTGAACAAAGCAATATGGTATAATCGTTCGACGTTGCAATATAACATACAGACGTTAGTCAGAAAACACCTTGCTAGAATATGCACTATATTAGAACCTGAAATATTGTGTTGACAAAAAGCCAAACGGAGAGATGCCACAGAGTTGAAATTTGCAATGATGGGCCAGTCTACAACTGGAATGATATGAGGAATGCCTTCAACTGAAAAAAATGGGAAGAGCTCGACCTTAACTAAATTGTCTAAATTTAATATGACTTATCGAATTGCTTGATTATATGTCAATTTGATGTAATAATGCAATTAATATTTACAATAATATATCTTTACAGTATGTGATTTTGGAAGATATCATTATGAGTATTTATTACGAGTAATGATAATAGGATAAGTTATTATTGGATATATCCGATGATTTTTTCCAAAGTTTGTTTTTATGCACGTGTATATGTGGTTTTATTGAAAACAATGATATTTTTAATATCACATTTATATGCGCGAAATAACCGACCGTATTAATACCATTCAAAGGACGTATTATACCTTTTAACCAGTATGATTGATACATTTATTGTATCATAAAAGTTGCATAATTATAAAAACATTTGTTCAGTGATGTTGATTTTCTACATCTTCTTAGCTATATCAATTAATAATTGCATATGATTAAATTAAAGAGAGAATCGGGTCTAGCGAGCAAGCAAAACGAAAATTTATTCAATTTTAGAGTATTTTTGTCTCACATCATTCCTTGTCTATTTTCTAAAACTCCTCAACGTACATACTTTATTCAAGGAAAACGTTTTAGAGGATTTTTACAATAATGTGTTATTTTTCTATCATTTATGGTTACCATTTTTATTATTTGAGATAATTTAAACACTTTCTCCCACTTTTGCACTTTGAATAATAACGTCACCAATTTATAACATATCGCTGATAAAAATGGAAACAATTACGTTAATTTCCTCATATCTTTGTCATTTTAAGAAATAACCCCCTGATATTTTACACATTTGCATATCATTCAGTTTCCTACCAATCTACTATATTTCATAACCAGCAGATTGATAGTAACAATGTTACATCACTTTAACCCTAGTGGCCACTTTTGCACTGTCGGGAAACCTGCACTCTTCGTCCAAAATGCTTGCAATTTTTCACCCCTTTTGATCTGATTCTGCCTTTAATAAATAAGACTACGAGCTGATCTACACTGCCATGCCTTGTAATATCAATTAAATCAATCTGAATTACTTGTCATAGAAAAGGATGTTGCATAACTTTTAACATTATTTTTAGAGTATAAACATGTTTTTGCCAAATTTCACTTTTGATTAACAGGAAAGTAATTACGAGAACTTATAAAATTGTGATGACATACCAGTGTGAATCTAACCGATTTTCGACCATATGTCACAGTTTCTCGCCAGGAGCCAAATTTTGTTTTCAGTTTAGCCGAGAATGAATATGGGCTAATCGCATAATCTGATTTACTGTTACATTGGATAAACCAACTCATGAATCAAAAGTTTGAAAATACATTTAGGACAATTTTACAGTCAGTTGACAGAATTTAGCGCTAAGTGTCACTGCTTAATTTGCTGTGAAAGGCTCCCAATTGTTCGAAGTGGCACTTGCCACTTGGGACCTGCCAAATCCTCCACCTCCTGGTTATTTACCGGGGATCAAAGCTGCGCTTACAATATCAAGGTTGATGCACGCTCTCCAGCGCCATCCAAGTTGTCCACTTACGTAAAATGTATATTGCAATGTAAGAGCTCCTTGAAACAAAATGAATCAGAAATAAAACAAGTTTAAAAAAGAAAGTAAATGCTTTTTGGCTATGATGTGCTGGAGCATGAAACTGAGTTACCGGCAAATTCTTTGGTGTCAATGTCATACATCCAGGCCGGCTCCAAAGACATCAAAGGCATGTGCCACAGGTAATGATATCAATGAAAGTATGTTTACTAGTCCAATAATAATGTCAAATGAAAGTATTTTCAAAACATCTTTTCGTTTTAGTCAACATGAACACAATGAATATTCAAATTCGTCAAATCTTACCATAAGAGAAGCAAATACTTGTTCAGTTTAAACCGCTCACTAACTAAGGAATTCTTACTAAAGTACAATTTGCAAAAAGTGCCGTGTTTTCTGTGTATTTTCTCCAATTTGCCTTTCAATCGTTTGATTTCTCTTCTTTTAAACAGACCTCCATCTTACTATTACTAACCTCTTCTGTTATTTAAAGAAAATAAGCGAAACGTGTACAGATGATCATGGGAGTCGACGCATATTATCGACTCCAAATAGATGCAAATTTGTCATTTTTGTCATTTATTTCAAAATTCTGAATCCTGGAAAAGACCCAAGGGTCTATTTTGACTTTTGAGATCATGCAAGTGTTCATGCACCTAGATACAAACTAGTTTTACTTTCTCAATTAGTAAATTGTAATTAGAGTGTTATCATTCAGGTTGAAACTTGAACTGTTCTATTGATAAAATCTATGTCATATTGCCCATAGGTTCATACTTCAAACTTCAAGGCATTTGGTATACCGATTTTTGTTTCTTTCATGAAATTAAAAATCCGTTAGAAGAACCTCCACCAGAGGCCATGCACGCGCATATTTCAATCAATAATCGATGGTGATTATATATAGCAAAATAAATAACATAAAAATAACAAAATACCAAGCATGATATACAGATTAGAACACGTGGTTTTAAAATGGTTATGCTCTTAAAAACCATATTTCCAATTTCCAATTTTCGAATTTTATGGGATATTTGCTCAATTTGATTTGCTCGTTTTCATTATTGGGATGTGAGGCTTCCGCATATTGTAACACACCAATAGATAGCTTTTATATAATACAACGATATAAATAAACAATCGAGCATAAAAAGTCCAACGTTTAAAATTGAAGTGCCAACCACAAATCGGATAAGTCAACATCAATCTCAAGTGCACTTGAATTAAACTCTTTACTTAAAATAAAATTGAAAGGTAAACACAATAATCGCGAGTTACATAATGAATGTGCAAAAGATCTTTGACTTTAGATTTTATATGGTTTATGTTGATGCATGCCACGCGAGTTTTCTATTGTTGAACCCTGGAGATTGTTAAGTGCATACACTTTCATAAATGGTGTTATGATAATTATTGCTTACAGGATAAGGTCAATTGCAAGCAAATTAGGAATAACTAACTGTTTAATCAGATAGGACCTTACAAATTAATTATCTGTTAAATCGAGCAGACGTCCCAAAACGTTTCCCGGTTGACATTTTTTTCTTGGATTCAAGGATATTATTTTTTCTTTCATTTGAATGAAAAAGAATTTGGTCATAAGGTTTATTTAAATCTTTTCAAAAAGTCCCACCAAAAGCCAATAAACCTGCAGGGACCTAACGTGCTTAGACCAAGGACGAGGTGTTTTGTATGAGTGAATGTGAACTACCTCTCTTCAGTTCTTCATTCAACTAAATGTTCCAAAGGTCCAGGCCGAGCCTTTTGTACAAAATGTTACAAGTATATTTAAAACAGACCAAGTTACCAAACGTATAAATGCTGATGAAGATGGCAATAATGGCTCACAAATAATAAAATAACCGCGTTCTATCACGTTAACTCTATCTGTTTCCAAATAATGGTAAACTATTCACACATAGCTAGGCGAGGTGTGTCCGATTCCAACCAATCTGAACAGAGTATCCACATAATGAACAGTGTGTGAAATATAAATAACACAATTCGATTAGATTAATTAGAAGATGCCATTGTTAAAGAATTTAAGCCCAAGACTCAATGCATTGTAGCTGCTTCATTCCACTGGGCTTAAATCCTTTAACAATGGCATCTTCTCATCATGATAAACCATGACATCTCATTTCTTCTCAGCCCTGTTTTAGATGAAACAGAAAGATGCTATTAGTATCAGAATGGCATCTTCTAATTAATCAAATCACGTTGCTATTTGTTTCCAAGCTCTCAACTTACTTTTGCATTTAAAAAAAAGACAAATCATTCATGTAAGATACACTCCCTCCAAAAGTTTGGAAATCCTAGCTTCCATTGTTTAGCCTTGTATAATTACGCTTGTACTGCTGAACCAACAGAAGAGTTGATGCCAAACCTTTGAAGAGGGTTGTGTATTACAAGATTATCACAAAGCATATCTAAAATAGTAAGACCAATGTTACTTTTCCAAAAGTTTTAATCTGCTAATAGACCTAACGGTGAGAAATGACATTTTGTGTAAAAGTCGCTCCTGAAGGAATACGCACTAGATCTTGCACCTTATATTGTTAGTTTTGCTTCAAGACTATGGACACCCCCTCTCCCTATCTACTTAACCAACTTGACAAGGATAAGGGGTTCGAAGTCTTGAAGGAAGAGTATATATGTGTAGTAGGTGGTATTATAGAAGACGTCAATGCTACACATCCGCTCCAATCGCAGGACTCCAAGATACAGGATATCTTGCTTTGGAGGATGATGTTACGCCATGCGTCAATTTCAATGTTTTGATAATACTTCTTAGTATTATCATTCTATTACTTAGAACTACTGTACCAAATTTCCGCCAATTGCTTTTTTATTATTTGTTTTTGTTTTCCAGTCGTAAACAAATGTCACGGCACTCGGAAGTCGACCTGTGTGCATTTCGAGTTTGGGAATAAGATTCCTGGTGCAGACAGGGTATCATCAGCTAAGTTGTGGGTCTACAAACGCCCAGATCCTGCTGACAATCGCTTCAACCAAACACTGACTATAACCCAACAGCTCGGCGGCCCAAACGCCAGCAGATTCCATAGGGGGAAAGTAGTTGGTACCCAAGAGACAGACCTCGAATATGGTTGGGTGCAGATTGACATGAAACACACCGTCCATCGTTGGATGTCCAAGTCGAAGTACCCTAGAACCATCGAGGTCAGCTGTAAAACGTGTCGCCGAAATAGTGGATCTCCTATAGAAATTGACGGCGATCACAAGCCATTCATCGTTACATATTTACGTAAGAATCAGATCTGATTATTAGTCCCGACCCCGACAAATGTTTTTCACAGATCGGGATATGATGAATCGAAGTTACACTGTCACGTAATTTTATAGGGCTCGCGGGATATTCACGAAGTCAAACACCTTTATCCCGTATGAGCACTTTGTAGCACTGAGCTACGGGACAGTCAGGTTTTCAAACCCACTGTCCCGTACCAGTGCTTGGTAAAAAAATTTGCTGCGGGATAAAGTGATTTCAAAACTTGACTAATGCTGATCAAAGTATATGCTATCAAGCCATCACATACATGTATCTCTATGTAATTACCATACTATATTAACCCTTGCAAAAAATTCCATTTTTCATCTTTGTACTGAATTATATCAACATCAGTCTTTTATCTTTGAAATGTTGCTAAAGTTTATTGGGAGGGGTGGCATGTACACACTTGATTCAAAATGCTATTGTTTGTGTGTGAGGGGGGGGGGGCATCTCCAGAGTTGACTCACATCATGGTCTATAAGAATCACAACTGTCACAAATCATCATTCCATCTGGTATCATTTAAATATCCTTGAATATGATTTGCAGTATGTACATAAATCCTTGTGTGCCATCCTGTATCATATATTATGCCTATTGTTAATGTTGCATATGTCTTTTTATTTTTTAATCAGCTAATATATATGTATATAAACACTGGTGAAGTAATGTGGTCATTCCTCAAGCCCTCCATATCATTTATCATCCTAATTGTTCATATGTCAACAGCTCCTTCCAGTGAATTAAATAAAAGTTGTTCTTCACGATAAATACCGGTGAAGTATTGTGGCAATTCCACATGCAATCTGTTTTTCCATCTATTCCCTGCTGTTATTCCACCATATTCTATCTATATGTTTTTGACATGCTGATTACCCATGCCATACATCCTGAAATAAGCAAATAATATTTAAATTATTTTCTTTTCTGTATTGTGCCTTTTGTTCATTTATCATTCACTTATGTCCAGTAAATTGAATAAAGTACTAGAAATATGCAAACTCCATAGCGCAGCAAATGCCAAAGAACACTAAATTCATGAATCTGTATGCCACAACATAATATTTATCATCTACCTTACCCTTGATTTGCAAATATAAAAAAAAAACATTAAAATGTTACATGTATATCAGAATAATCACCAATTCAAGTATTTGGGTGACCATTTGTATTAGATCATTGGTGTGGCGAGGGGGGGGGGGGGGAGGCACGATGGGTGCAAACCCTCTTCCCCATAACCAATAACAAAATGGCTCCATTACTTTTCGAGTAAGAATAAAAAGAGTAAAAAATGGTGGTCATTTTGAAAAATGGCTGCCTTTTACCCAAAGTGTCATTTGACAGTGTGCCATGCTTATAGTATTCACATATAAAATATGAACAAAATTGCTCTACTACTTTTTGAGTTATAGTAAAAAATGTAAAAATGGTCGCCATTTTTCAAAATGGTCGCCTACTACCCAAAGCGTCATTAGACAGTGTGCCATGCTTATAGTATTCACATATAAAATAAGAAAAAAATCGCTCTACTACTTTTTGAGTTATAGTAAAAAATGTAAATATGGTCACCATTTTTCAAAATGGTTGCCTACTACCCAAAGTGTCATTAGACAGTGTGCCATGCTTATAGTATTCACATATAAAATATGAACAAAATCGCTCTACTACTTTTTGAGTTATAGTAAAAAATGTAAAAATGGTCGCCATTTTTCAAAATGGTCGCCTACTACCCAAAGTGTCATTAGACAGTGTGCCATGCTTATAGTATTCACATATAAAATATGAACAAAATCGCTCTACTACTTTTTGAGTTATAGTAAAAAATGTAAAAATGGTCGCCATTTTTCAAAATGGTCGCCTACTACCCAAAGTGTCATTACACAGTGTGCCATGCTTATAGTATTCACATATAAAATATGAACAAAATCGCTCTACTACTTTTTGAGTCAGTATAGTAAAAAATGTAAAAAAATGGTCACCATTTTTCAAAATGGTCGCCTACTACCCAAAGTGTCATTAGACAGTGTGCCATGCTTATAGTATTCACATATAAAATATGAACAAAATCGCTCTACTACTTTTTGAGCTATAGTAAAAAATGTAAAAATGGTCGCCATTTTTCAAAATGGCGGCCTTCTACCAAAAGTGTCATTAGACAGTGTGCCATGCTTATAGTATTCACATATAAAATATGAACAAAATCGCTCAACTACTTTTTGAGCTATAGTAAAAAATGTAAAAATGGTCGCCATTTTTCAAAATGGTCGCCTACTACCCAAAGTGTCATTAGACAGTGTGCCATGCTTATAGTATTCACATATAAAATATGAACAAAATCGCTCTACTACTTTTTGAGCTATAGTAAAAAATGTAAAAATGGTCGCCATTTTTCAAAATGGCCGCCTTCTACCAAAAGTGTCATTAGACAGTGTGCCATGCTTATAGTATTCACATATAAAATATGAACAAAATCGCTCTACTAGTTTTTGAGTTATAGTAAAAAATGTAAAAATGGTCGCCATTTTTCAAAATGGTCGCCTACTACCCAAAGTGTCATTAGACAGTGTGCCATGCTTATAGTATTCACATATAAAATATGAACAAAATCGCTCTACTACTTTTTGAGCTATAGTAAAAAATGTAAAAATGGTCGCCATTTTTCAAAATGGCCGCCTTCTACCAAAAGTGTCATTAGACAGTGTGCCATGCTTATAGTATTCACATATAAAATATGAACAAAATCGCTCTACTAGTTTTTGAGTTATAGTATAAAATGTAAAAATGGTCGCCATTTTTCAAAATGGTCGCCTACTACCCAAAGTGTCATTAGACAGTGTGCCATGCTTATAGTATTCACATATAAAATATGGACAAAATCGCTCTACTAATTTTTGAGTTATAGTAAAAAATGTAAAAATGGTCGCCATTTTTCAAAATGGTCGCCTACTACCCAAAGTGTCATTAGACAGTGTGCCATGTTTATAGTATTCACATTTAAAATATGAACAAAATCGCTCTACTACTTTTTGAGTTATAGTAAAAAATGTAAAAATGGTCGCCATTTTTCAAAATAGTCGCCTACTACCCAAAGTGTCATTAGACAGTGTGCCATGTTTATAGTATTCACATTTAAAATATGAACAAAATCGCTCTACTACTTTTTGAGTTATAGTAAAAAATGTAAAAATGGTCGCCATTTTTCAAAATAGTCGCCTACTACCCAAAGTGTCATTAGACAGTGTGCCATGCTTATAGTATTCACATATAAAATATTGACAAAATCGCTCTACTAGTTTTTGAGTTATAGTAAAAAAAGTAAAAATGGTGTCCATTTTTCAAAATGGTGGCCATTTTTCAAAATGGTGGCCATTTTTCAAAATGGCAGCCTTCTACCAAAAGTGTAATTAGACACTGTGCAATGCTTATAGTATCCACATACCAAATATGAACAAAATCGCTCCACTACTTTTAGAGTTACAGCAAAAATCGTAAAATAACGAGTAAAGGCCCCCGTTTTTCAAGATGGCTGCCATGTGCTTCTTTCATATCTACATTCTAGTTTTATTAATGTCCTATATATTTTTTTACATTTAAAACATATTGCTATTACAGTTTTACATATTGCACCTAGATTACTGTAAAATTGGCACTAAAATGGACGTCATTTTTAAACGAGCAGCCATTTTGAAAATTGGCCAACGGCATTAGACGTAATAAGATTTGAATAATAAACCATCGAATTTGACTTTTGAAACACTGAAATATGACTTTTGAAACAAATTCTTTAAACCAAACGTTCTTCGAATGCCAGGTGTTTGTAAAAAGCAATAAGCCTTTCAAATTGGGAAATTTTTTGAAATGCTTGTGAAACTACGGAAAGTTTCAGCTGCCTCTTTGAGAAACTAAATTGGTGGTTTAACAGTAATTCAAACATGCCAAGTGTGTCTCAGCTTAAAGGATTTCAGTGTGTTAATTGATTGATATATGCACAAAAATGATTTTGCTGTGCATTTAATCTTTGATATATGCATGGGTTGAGCAGGGATATTCTTTAAAAGGGGGTGAAAGCGAATCATCCATGTGTTCTTTTCAACTAATTCTTCATAATTTTTCTGCATCAAATTAATTATTCCATTTCCTTAAATATTTTGACAAACAAAATCTTCTCAATAGTTTTCAAATGGATATCAATTGTAACCCATCACCCCTATTGAGTATTTCTAAATAATAAACTTTTCCAAAAACATAATTTCTTCAAAGACAACAACCTTGAAGATGTACATGGTGAACTGTTCAACTTCATCATTGACCCCAGTCATGTTTGAATTGCAATAAAGAATCATGTATCATATTGGAAATATAAAAGCATGAGTGTATGTACTAACCCATTCTGATAATGCAATCAGGCTTCGCCTTTGTGCATTATGTGTACGGGTTAGTACATACACTCATGCTTTTATATTTACAATATAGAATGATACAGGATTCTGAGATTCTCACAGGCTGGTGTCGAAAGATTTGTCCACTGTGACGGAGCATGCTATTTTTAATAAAAACACTAAGAATGCTTCACGATTTATTTTTTAACTCATATGTTTCATTATATCAAAGATAATAACTTACTCCATGCAATGGATATATCATTTGCGTGTAACCTTCACTACTGTTTGAAGTCCAATAACGCTAGGAGTAAAATCTATTGAAAACGGCGCCAGAGTATCAAACTCTAAAATGAACCATTTCTTTTTTAACTTTTTAATGGCATGATATAGTGACACGATAATATTAACATATATTTTCAGCATATCTCTGAATGTATTAATGAGATATTAATGCATTGGGTCTTTTTAATTTTTTTATAAAAAAATAATATTAATATTTTTTGTCCGCTGTGACGGAGCATTTTCACAGTTCAAATTTGCAACTGCTCCGTCACAGCGGACAAAACAATTAAACATTATTTTTTATAAAAG